CCATGTTGGCTGCGTGCAAGGCAAACGCCCTACCGCTGTGCTATCACTCCAGCCCAAACTATCAAATAAACTACCAAATAAAATATATATTCACATATACTAGAAAACTAATGTATACATTTCATATGACTATTTCTTCTTTTAATAAATTAGGGGAGGAGGCGGGGACTCCCAAGCAGTGCTCAGGAGGCCCAGGGGCCCCTCCTGGGATTCTCAGCCCAGGGTTTCAATGTGAGGGCCTGAAAATGTGATTCTGTGTAGGTCCTGCAGGGCCAGAAATTGTCGTGCTGGCAGTACTCAGTGGCTTATGGGACGGGGAGGGGTCACTCAGGCAATTTGGAGGGCCATGCGGTGCTGGGGATCAAGCCAGCATCACCCACCTGTAAGGCTTGTTGCCTTACCTCTATACTATCTCTCTGACCCTTGACTTTGTTCTGTGACTCAAAATGCTGTTGTAATAGACATTTTTTTCTCTTCAGTTGACAATTTTGCCTTAGTGTGTGGTCACTGTGATGATAGTCTTCTCCGGAATTAACGACATGGAACAGTACCAGATCAATTGCCACATATTTCAGAAAACATGAAAATCTCAGAATAGTGTCAACCAAGGCTGAACTTGAAAAATCCCTCAAGGAATAAAATGACCAGAATGACTCCATCCTCCACAATAACATATTTTTATACTTTACCTAACATATATATATATATTTTTTTTACTGCAGGCATCACATATTTTTAAAATAAGAAAATCCACATGGGCTGAGTGCAGTCCTTTAGAGGGTTCATCTTTCATTATCACTATTGCACAATTGTCACAGTGCACACATAAAATAGAACAAATCTTATTTTTCTCTTTCTCCCCCCTCCCCCCAAAAAATGACAGACCTAGGCTGAAACTGATCACAGCAGGTAGGATGGTTGGGCATGGATTCAAAGGAAGGTACAAATGTTCAGTTTTCAAAAGCACTGCAAAAGCCAACCTCATCTCTTGTCGCTGTAGCTGTGGCTTTATGCCAAACATTTTAAAAACTGTTGGAAAGTACAGTTCCTTATAAGCAATTATGAGGTGCTCTGCAAAGAGAAGGAACCAAAAAACACTGTAATGATAATTAGTCCTTAGAAAGGTCAAATGTCCACGGCTCTGGGATGAAGGACGAGAATCTATGAGCTCCTCAACTGCTTGTGATACAATGATACAACACAGATGTTTTAGGGAATGGGTTTGAAAAGTATGAAAAGACGGTATCAAGGAGCCCGATGAACATTCTCAAAAATTTAATATGTCCTCAACACCTTTTTTTAAAATTTTTATTAGTGAGACACCATGAGGTACAGTTGTAGACTTACAATTTTTTGTGCTTGGGTTTCAGTTATACAATGATCAAATACCCATCCTTCCACCAGTGCCCTCAACACCTTTTAGAGTTTTTATTTGTTTGTTTTTTGGGCCACACCTGGTGGTCCTCAGGGATGACTCCTGACTTAGGGATCACTCCCGGTGGGGTTTGGGAGACATATGGGATGCTGGGGATCAAACCCAGGTCAGCAGCGTGCAATCTCTATACTCTGCACTATCGCTCCGACCCACCATTGTAGGGACTCAAACCAGGGTTGGCTGCATGCAAGGCCAGGGCCTTAGTCCCTATACTATCTCTCTGAGCCCCTACATAATTATATTTTCTTGAGAGGGGACGAGGTGGGTATGATTCTGCTCAAGGTTTACTCCTGGCTCTGGACTCAGGAATCAATCCTAATGGTACCCAGAGAAACACATGTAGTGCCAGGGATAGAACCAGGGTCGGCTCTGTATAAGACAAACGCCTTAATCTCTGTACTGTTTCTCCGACTCTAAATGCAATTTTTCAATTGGTCTGTAATTCTTTAACTCTTTTTCACCCCCTTTTTTTCTTTTTCTTTTTGGTCACACCTGGTGATGCACAGAAATTAACTGGCTCTGCACTCAGAAATTACCCCTGGCAGTGCTCGGGGACCATATGGGATGCTGGGAATCAAACCCAGGTCAGCTGCGTACAAGGCAAGCGCCTTACGTGCTGTGCTATTGCTCCAGTCCCTATTCACCCATTTTTATTTGCAGCCTAGATAGTTTTTCAGACCAAAGTGTTACATAATAGTATTCTAAGTATTTAATGACTTTTACACTAGTCCTAGATATACTGATTTCAGGTTTCAAGTGGAATCCTTCCCTTTAGTACTGCAGAATTTGGTGAGCAATTCATTATACTCACATTCGCAATCAAGTCTCAGCAGAGCTGTCTACTCTTGTGGGCTCCACGTCCTCACCTACCAGTCCCTCTTCAGCCCCCGCTACTGGTTTGCACCTGCTCTGCTCCACTGACACTTCCCTTGGTAAAGGACCTTTGTGTTGTTGCTAAAGACCGATAGACCCCAAAATTTATATTTTCTATAAATTGCAGCATCGTTTAAAAAATTATCCTCTCCTTAATATAGCGTCTGCAGCTTTGATGGACCCACTTTTTCCTGAATGCCTCTGGCTCTGTCCCCTGGGACTGAGTCTCGAAATCCCAAGTTTCATCTTCATGCTAATGACACAGTTTCTTGCTGATAAAAAAAAATTCACACCAATTGTTGAGATTTCCCTCTAAGTAGACACACAAACCCAATTACCTATCCAACATCTCCATTTTGAATCTATATTAAACATTGAAGATCAGTCTATTCAAAACGGAATTCGTGGGTCATTCCCCCACTGTCCACCTTCAGTGTCTCCAAATTTCTACCCTGTTGCTCCTCCTGGGAACCCAAAAGTTCCAAATGCTCATCAACTCACTCTCCAAGTCTTGTCACTGTAGTCTCCAACACAGGGTATTTCCCCTGCATCCCTGGCCCCTCCCCTCCACACCTGGCCCACCTCCTCCTGTCTGGCATTAATCATTTATTTACCGCACTGCAATAGTGTTCGAAATGATCTTTTGGATCCCCTCCTATTGCCCCTAATTCCATCTCCATATTGCAGCAGGAGTGAGCTTTCAAAGATGAAACTGCTCCTACCAAAACCCTTCTGTGGCTTGCTCTTGGTTTTAAGATGACACTCACAAGGCACCTGCCTACCTCTCCAATCTTAACCACAGACTTTCATTCCCCTGATTCTTTCAGCTCCAGCCTTCCACTTTCTCTCTTTACATCACTCCTGCTAAGGTTTTCCCAGGCATCTTCTAACTGGAATATTTATTCTCTTCTTTTGCTCGTTCCCACCCACTGCCGTCCAAAACACACCAACATATACATCCACATGCATAACCCCAACCCCCAGAGGCCACATCCAGCAGTCAACCCAGATCAAAAGGAACCGAAAGAATGACAGCCCATGGTGTTAAAAGGAGCCACCAGGACACAATAATAATGATGATGATAACGGCGGTGATAATAATAGCAAACCCTTGCATAACTGTATGCCAGGCGCTTAGATTTATATAAATGAACATATTCAGTGTTCATAATGATTATTATAAGTAGGCAGGAGTGTTATCTGTTTTAAGAGACCAGAGAGAAAGTACAGCAAGCAGAGCCTTGCATGTGGCCGACCCAGATTCAATTCCCAGCACCCCACATGGTTCCTTGAGCCATGCCAGGCGTGATCCCTGAGCGCAGAGCCAGAAATAAGCGCTGAGCACAGTTGGGTGTGTGCCTCGCCCGCAAAAAAAAAAAAATAATCAACTAAAATAAAATATTAAGTAAGGGAGCTGGAGAGATATGGCATGATAGCACATCAGGTAAGGCACTTGACTTGCACTCTTCCAGGTTGGATCTCTGGAACAACAGACGGTCACCTGAGCCCAGACAGGCGAGATTCCGGCACACACAGCCAGAAATAAGCCTTGAGCACTGCGGGATTGTGGGAAGCTGGCCCTTTAACTGACCAAGGCCTAAGTGCCTGTCTGGTCATCCTGACCTACGACCCCACGGCAGGCACAGCCTGTGCTATGTATGGTCATCTTGACCTACATGACCCGCAACAGGCAAAACCAGTGCTATGTATGGTTATCTTGATGTATGGTTATCCTGAGAGAACATCTGTCGTGGCTGTCAGTAATAACAAGAAGTATCTCGTGTCTGGTACGTGATGCATGTAAACTTTATAAATCATATGGACATGGCTCTTTGTGTATCTACCTCATGTCTGGTAAATCATATGGACATGGCCCTTTGTGTAATCACCTCGTGTCTGGTACCAGATACACACAAACCTTGTAATGCATGATAGGTGAAAACAAACCTTCCTAACCATATATGGGCACGACCTTTTGTGTAGCTGCCTCACGAATGGATATATACCCTGATTGCCCCCAATAAAGTCCTTTCCCTTTTTCTCTCTGTTTCTGAGCTGCATTCTGTCTCTTGTGTCTCGTGTTCATTCGGTCGGTCCTTCCCAGCACCTACGGATCCTAGGGCCACCTCCGCAGGCCGGAGAGTGGTCTGGCGGGGCCCCCCGCACGGGATGAGGCCCAAAAGAACAACAACAACAACCATTAAGAGAGTTGACAGCCACCCAAGTTCAGTGGCACAGCCAAGATCAGCCTTTCCGTGTGCGTGCTAAACTTTGGGAGGGTGATAACTTGGCTATCGCTCAATCTCTTCTCTTTTTAACTAAATCACGAGATGCGGTTACAAAAGTTTCAAGACTGAGTTTCAGTGGTACAATGATGGGACACCCACCCCTCCACCAGTGCACATTTCCCACCACCAACGACCCCAGTACCCCCCCACCCCCCCACCCACCCGCTCCATCCCTCCCCCTGCCTCTCTGGCAGACAGTTCCCCAGACTCTCTCTCTACTTTTCATTTCTAGAAAAGAGACACAGAACGGGGTCTGCAGTTATCCGGACAAATACCGTGTCCTCCTCTGGACTGGATTCGCCCCCCCCCCCCTCCGTTCTGTCCCCGCTGTCCCCGAGCCGCCGTCCAGGGCCTGCGGGCGCCTCTGCCCGCGTGGGCGCCTCGCGGCCTGGCCTGGGCCTCACCTTCCACGTCGGGGCAGAGGCCGCCCCGGCTTCTTCGGTGTCCAGCCCGGACCGCTCGCCCGCGCTCGGGAGCATGAAGCGGCCATAGCGCTGCAGGGGCCACTGCGTGGCCGCTTCTCCCGAGAGGCCGAGGCACACGGGCTCCTTTCCCGCCTCCGCCATGGCCGGCCCACACGGGTGCGCGCGCAGCCTCCAGCGCCGGCCAATCAGGACGCGAGCCGGACCCACGGCCCGCCTTCCCCTCGGGTGAAAGCCAATGGGCGTGTCCCGCCCGACCACGTGCCGCAGCGCCTGGATCTCTTGATGCCTTGGCCCTTTCGTGGGCAGAGCTGGTGACCGCCACCTGGAAGTGGGGTGTGCTGCGTTGGCGTCTTCGCATCAACGTAAGCACCCTCCTCATCCTCCGGGCGGCCCAAGCCGTTGTCCCTGATACCTCCCACGTGACTGGCCGACACATGCAAAGGCACCACGCACAGGGACCATGTGACTCCCCTGGCGGCCCGGGACAGTGTGCTTCCTCCCTTGCAGCAACCGTTCGAATGACAGGGTCTCTGCCCACCTTGTGCCCACCGGAACCCAGTCCTAAGTCCACCCATCATTCGGGAATTGGTGCTCTTTCCCTATCCTTCTGCATGTTGTACTCCCTCCAGACTCCCAGATTCTTCCCCAGAAAACAAATGGGGGGGGTTGGGGGTGGGGGGGGCTGCCGGCAATAAAAGGTGCACTTCAGTCAAAACAGCAGGTGCAATGAAACGACAGATCGGGTGATTTATAGTCAACCAAGCACTTCTACAGCTGTTACTTTATTTGTCCTCCAACAACCTTGTGATACATTTTTTTTAAATAAACAACAAATAAAAACCCAACAAACATTATGGGGCCAGGAAGAGTGTACAGAAGGTAAAGAGCTTGCTTTGCATGTGATCAACCTGGGTTTGATCCGCAGCACCACATCTGGTTCCCGTTCCCTGAGCCCGCCAGGAGTGCCTTCCTCAAGTACAGAGCCAGAACCAAGCTCTGTGCACACTGGGACATGACTCGAATCCACCTCTCCCCCCACATTGCACAGAAAGGAGGGAAAGAACCCAGGGATTATTATACCCACCATTACATAGGTAGAGGCAAAATAAGATCCAGGGAGTGAAAACGATTTGCACAAGGTTGTGCAGCCAGTGAATAGCAGAGCCTGTGTAGTTCTTATGGACTCCATAGCTCTCCGGGTGCCTGCCCCACTTACAAAGAATTTATTCATACAGTCTGACCAGTGAAAAGCAAAGTACACAGAGGATGAAGTTAAGCAAACATGTAAAGCGAAAGTTATGATTCAAACCGGGTTCTTAAAGAATATGCATATCAAAGGGAATTAAATGCATAGACAATGATAGGGGAGATAATACATTCACTCATCAAAGCACAATTTGAAGGACTGAGAGAGAGTTCAACTGGGTGAGGACTGCAAAAGCACACTTTGCATATGGGAACCCCAGGTTTGATCCCTGGTGTAACACACACACAGACACACATATACTCGGGGGTGGGGAGGAGACAGAAAGACAGAGACAGAGAGAGAAATAAACATGGTGTGTATGTGTGTTGTGTGTGCCAGCAGTGTAAAGATATATTAGATACTAGAAGGGTTAAAACATGAACCCGACCTTCTCCAACGGGGGTCTAAAACAAACAAACAAAAAAGCAGAGGTACAAGTATACCCTTGGTGGTTGACAGTTAATGTCAGTTAAAAGTACAAGCCAGAAGCTGAGGGTTCAGATGAAGTGACATCTGCCAACTGGAACGCCAGTGACATTTCAATTCTAACTTGAAGAGTGAGAAGTTTCCCAAGGAAAGATAGAGGAACGTGTTATTCCAGTTATTCTAGGGGGTGGGGGATGGACACTGGGGAGCAGAGTCATAGAGAGGAAGACAGTGATATCATTATAAAGAATGCACACTTGCTTCTTAAGGAAGAAGGGCCTCACCTCTCGAACAGCCGCTAAGGAAAGTGGCTGGTGCTGGGTGGTGAGGTAAGGAGGGTGGAGTGGAAAATTTGCAGAGAGAAGTGATGCTGTCACCATGGGGGCTGAAGGGGGGTGGTTCTTCTTTCCAGCATATAGAATAAATTGCATTCAAGGCAAAGGAGAGTTGTTAACTTCTCTTTCCATTAGTCCAGCAGAGCTTGCTGAAAGGATCAGATTTCAGAAAAATGCTTCCAAAGGTCTTTGAATGACATGACAGTAATGCATTTAATAAAACAGTCAACGGATACAAATTTGGTTTGAATCCCAATTCTGGTACTTCACAGTTGTGTAACCTTGGAGAAGTCACTTAACCTCTCTGTAAAATAGGGTTAATAAAAACCTACCTTCAATAGGGTCACTGGGAGAATAACATAAAATTATATGGGGAAACGCTTGGTAAATGACAAATGTGGCCCACATGTTTGTTGCTTTCTAGTTCCAGGGTTAAAAGGACTTTCTGTGGACTCCCCGTAGCAGGGGGCATGGAGATGGGAAACTGACACTCGGTCTCAGAGGTGCTCACCTCTTCGGTCTGGGGCTGCAGATGCTGTCAGACACCTTCACAGGAGCAGATGGTGCTCACAGTTGGGACCCTGTCAGTGCCCAAGGACACCCGGGGCCCTGCTGGGCTCCCACCTGCAAGCTCCCTTCCTAGACAATGCACCTGTGCCCGAGCTTCTGGAGCCACCAGCCTCTGCCAAGAACCGATCATCTCTGCAAAGGGAGATATGATAAATCCACAGCTCAATGCACAGAGCCTGTTTCAAAACTTAGGATGTTAACCGATGTGGCTGACCCATTTTGGAGGTCCCAGATATTATTTCAGGTTCTAAGAGTACCGTAAAGACCGAAACAAACTTAGTCTGTATCCCCCTGAAGTTTACAGTTTGGTAGGGAGAGAGGCAGAGCAAATTGCTTCCTATGTCTTGGTGACCATTGTGCTTCTCTTCTGAAGAGAAATCTGAGACATGGGGCAGAGAGCTTAGCTGTTAAGGATGGCGCTTTATATGTGCTGAACCAAACTCCCAAAGCCCAGACGTACACAGCCTTTTGAGCACCATCAAGTGTAGCCCCAGAGACCTCTGTGCGGTAATGGGGGTCCCTGTTGGTTCCCACCATGACAGGGCCCAAACAGCTCTACAATCTTGAACCACCCAGCTCAGCTGGCCCCAGGCACCCCTGAGCACTATTTGGGAGGCTTCCCAAAACATAAAAAAACCTGAGTACTTCTAAAGGTACAATATTATATTATTAGGAATAGGGGCCTGAGAGATATATAAGCAGGTAGGGCTCTTACCTTACATGCCAAGGTTGAATCTCTGGCAATGCACATGGTCCCCTCAACCTCTCTAGAAATAATCCCTGAGCACAGAGTCAGGAGGAAGCCCTGAGCTCGGCTGAGTGTGGCCTCCCAAAAATAATATTATTATATTATTCAAAAGCACAGATCTTACAAATTCAGTTAGGAGATTTTTGATGCCTCTATACCCTCAGAGAAAAGCCACTCAAAACAAGATAGGAAGCATTTCTAAAAGTTCTAATGTGAATACCTACTGCAAGTCAGTATCCAAATTGAAAGGGCAACCACTGGCTTGGAATTTATATTATAGGTTAGATTTCTTGTTCCAGAACTTCATATATAGGAAACAATGAAGGATAAGATCTTGGTGTAATTTCGTCTTTTAACTTTGTCCATGTTGCATAACAGATCAGTGTGGTTCACATGTTAATACAAACTTGATTTTCTACTTTTTAAAAACTATTATAAACTCTAAACATTTTTTGTAGATCAGTGCTGTCATTCACCTTTAATGTACCTCTAAGAATAAGATTGTGGGGGTTATAGAGTTTATATTTTAACTTTATAGAGAAATATGCCCAAAAGTTTGCCACGGTAGCTATTCCATTTTATACTTCAAACAGTAAAAAGTGTGAGTTCCAGGTATCCTAGTTAATGTTTGCTTTGGCAAGTTCTTTTGGTTTTAGCAATTCGAATGGATACGTAGTAGAGTCTCACTGTGGTTTATTGACATTTTCCTGATGACAAAGAGTGCCAAACCCTATTTTAAATAATTTAGTGTACATCTGTATTATTTTATAAAGGCTCAATTTTTTGGTGTTATTGATTTTCTGGGGTTCTTTATATATTCTGGATACATTCATATATATGCATTCCCCGTCCTATGACTTGATTTTTTATTTTCTTATCATTTTTTAAAAATCATCAGTATTTAGAGAAATTTACATGTTCAAGTCCATGCTCTGCATGTAGGAAGCCTGAGTCCAATCCCTGCCGTACATGGTCCCCTGAGAACCACCAGGAGTAACCTGCTAAGCACAGAATAGAGACGAGCCCCTGCATGCCAGTGGGTGTGGCCAAACACCTTTCAGAATAATGTTCAATGTTTTTTCCAGAGTGATAGCACAGTGGGTAGGGCGTTTGTCTTACACACAGCCGACCCGGGTTCAATTCCTCCGCCCCTCTCGGAGAACCCAGCAAACTACCAAGAGTATTTCGCCCGCACGGCAAAGCCTGGCAAGCCCCTCTTGACATTTTCGATATACTAAAAATAGTAACAACAAGTCTCACAATTTGTTGTGAGACGTTACTGGTGCCCGCTTGAGCAAATTGATGAAAACGGGAGAACAATGCTACAGTGCTACTTTATGCTTTTAAAAATTATTATGCAGGGGTACGGTGCTGCCAGCAGGTCAATCTGTACCTGTGAGGCGAGTGCATCAGCAGCTTGATGGCGCCTTCAACTTCCAGATACCCCCAAATTGTTGCTGTGCCTTTGGCCAGACCCAAAAAACTTGGGGCAAAGTTTACCAAAAAAGTAAATGGCCAAAAGTTGGGTATGTGGGAGACACACCCACAACCCACCTTCAACTCAGCTATATAATTGGAGGCAAGGCTGGTTTCTGATCGAACTGCTTAATGGCCATGATCCCAACTCAGAAACAAATCTCGAAACCCAATGGCTTTTGGCAGAAATGCATCCAGTCCCTGCAGTAGGTTACAGGTGCTGGGCCACCCCAGGTGGGAATAGGTTTCATGCTTGTTCCCCCGGTGGCCCGGTGGCCGCCATCCTCCAAAGGCCACTGGACAGTCAGGTTTGGGCCCACGTGAGGCCAACAGGATATGG